AAACCCAGAAAGAAGCCTGATGATCTATGACAATGCTAGTAAAAATACGATATACAGAATGATCACTTAAAACTAAGTCAAGACTTAATTGGGAGCGATGGTTCTGATTTGCATGACAGATGGAGGTTAAACAGAAGCCATAGTGTCACCAAACAAGTGTTGCTGTAACATTTAGGTTGCTGTCTGTCATGTGTTGATCTTCAAGACAACGTCATCGTTAACAAAATCAAACCTTGGTGCAAATAAAAATAATTCGACAAAAAAATACATCTTCTTTTATCACTTCTGTGGACGGACACAATAGACTCTGCGTTTGCCGTTCGCGATAGTATTTCAATGAGATGCTCGCTGATAATTTACACAGATCACTAGACGTGGTTCATCATGGCACGTGGTGGACAGATTATGTTTGACAGCAGGCAGATTGCCAATCAGAACAAAGCTACGACGTGGCAGAGCAGGGAACGCCATCTCACACTGCGCCGAGTCAATGTCATTTGTCTCTGTACCGTCGGTCACGTGACTCATGATGAATAGCACAGATACTCCCCCGCGTTTGACAGCTCGTAGAAACACTCGGTCAATTTGTCATACAATATCTCAATTTTTTTTATATACATTTTTGCGTCTTTATTGTTGCGTGAGGCGTTGTTCTAGTGTTTATAGACATGAATATCTGAGCGTCTTTTGTTGTCGGCCATGTTGTGTAAAACTTTTGCGTGTTATCGGGATTTATGATGGAGCCTTCAACGAGAATAAAAACGTGACGAGTTATAAAAAATAAAAAAAGCTTCCTAACAATCAAATCATCAGCTACCGGCCTGTGTTTTCGTCCTGCTAAACCAGAACTACGCTTTCTCGGGTCATAGCATCCACTTGAAATATTATATAAACCTGCAAAGACGTTGAAATATTACCAAAAAGCAATTTATTAATGATGAAAGCCACGTTAACAATACTCCAAAGCCACCTCGTTTATCAAGTTCACGCTGTTTATTCGTCTTATCATTAGCAGAAAGAACACATTAACTTTACACTCATTTCCAGACTTACTTAGCAACACTTACGAACTACACGTTTCGTATATAGACGAACTACAAAGATCATTATGAGAATGAGCCCCTAAAAGGATTGTGACAATGGATGACCTATTACGCTGCAAACCGCCCACATTGTGAGGTGTAAATAGTAGCTACATACGACGTTTCGGCACTTATCTCTACTCCAATCATCAAGTTGTCATTCCTACTGACATTTCACTGCTTTTATTTTCATTACTAGTCACGGCAGTGGAGACCGAACCCGGAACCATTCGAGTACCAAACTAACCACCAAATGTGGATGCCAATTAAAAATTCACTACATTAATTCCAAAAATTTCGTCCCTCGAAATTGAATCGCTGAGCACCGATACTACGCTCCGATATCAGTTATTGTTGTAAGCTGCCCTGTGATTCCCACTCTACCACTACCCTTATAATTCACCCTTACGCGCGACGACAAATAAAATTCCCGCGACATCAACCCAATGAACTGTAAGTATCACGGAGGGTGAGTTTCTCTCTCTCAAAAATCGACAGAATTGTAAAAGAAGTATCATGTTTCACGTGTTGAAATTTTATTGTCCCCGACACTCGAAAATGTTATTACAGAAGGGGATACTCAGACTCTATTTTAAGAGGGTGGATTTGACGTCCATTTCTTTGTTGTATTATATAATTTGTGTCCTTACATCTCCCTTTTCACACAGCTTACTGACCAGAAGAACCAAACTTGACGACATGAAAATTATGTTATAGGGTGTACCATAAACTGGCAACGCATACATAACCACCAACCATGTTACTCTTTTATCAAATGTGACAAATATACAGATTATGTGCTATGATATCTGAACAGCCGGCCCCTACTTATTGAAAGATGCTGATTCATTATATCAATTTGAAACTAGAAGCCTGTCCCAGCCTCAAATCTCATTACGGTCTTGCTTATCAATGCATTAATATTTATTTGTAAATATTCCATGGAGAGTAGCTGTGAGTACATTGAATATGCAGTCGAGGACAGCCAACAAGGGGTGATTCTCCAGCTTGCGGTGTTAGCGGGAGGCAAACAACTCCCCGCCGTAATAGAAAAATACCAACATGTTACGAAATGTTACACAATGCCTAACGCTTGGACAGATTCTCGTTTTTAGCAACCTAAGCGACGGAAAATGGCGATGAGATTTGAAACTTTGAATATAACATTAAAATGGATCTTAACGACAGAGGATTTAGGGTGTGGATTGGGTTCATCTCGCTCAGGATATAGACCTGTAACGGGCACTCCTGAACACGGTAATGAACCTTCCGGTGTCATAAACAACGTTTCAAAATATAAAGATTCAGCAGATGCTTGGCGTGAAACGGTGCTCCAGTAAATATGCCTCACGCGTTCACAAATAAAATGCAGTCCCTTACCTTTCTGATGCCTTCATCGCCATGGAAGGGGTGGAGATTCCTGGGCCTCCAGCACACGTCACACAATCCACTGAATTCGCACTGACAAAGATTCACACTCGCGAACCACCGAAACACCTGAAGCAAACGAAAACATAGTCCATGTTATTTGATACGAGCAATTACAGCTGGCCCATCATTCGCGTACACAAAGAGGAAGGAAAGACCTGTTTTATTTGCTACTTTGTTGTGTTTAGGCACAAGACTGAATGGAACAAGGCTGTTCTTTTGGGGCTGGTAATGTTCATCTGGTCAAGAAACTTCTGGCTTTTATGGAACACCAGGAATCGTTACCCTATCCTGAGCCAGGTGAATACCACCGGACAAACGTCGTTAGAGGCTGCTTTTCGGAATATAGGCCTACAACAAAATTGATGATAGTAATGAAATATAAAAAGCAAAAAACGTATTATTTCTTGCTGTAGCTGTTGTAATTCATTGTCAATTGGTATTTTTTTTAGTGTTCTATCTGAGGACAGGTCCATATGAACAGGATCCTTCCATCCTTTTCTCGGACTGGGACCTGTTCATATACGTTCTTGGCAGATGATCCAGAAGTGGTTTGCCATTGCCTTCTTCTGTGTGTGAATGGAGTAATTGTTGGGATGCCACGGAGGAAAACTCCGTGTTGCCTAGACCACGGCCTTGCCCAACACAAGTTATAAATTCGGGCACCGCCGGGAATTGAACCCGGGACCCCAGGATTACAAGGCTAACGTTCTGACCGCTAAACCACCGTTTCCGGGATGTGTAAAACCTAAAATGATGGCGGTGAAAAAACCTAATAAATATGTAATAAAAGCGTAATAAATCTCAATAAACTGTGACTGCAGCGAGGCGCGTCATTATTACAGTTAGAAATGTACATTAAATACTTTGCACCATGTCATCACAAAGTTTTCTCCTGATACAAATGCATCAGCTGTTCCGAATGGTTTTATAACAAAATTAATTTTTACGAAAGTCTTCCGCTTCGAGACACAAAGATGATTCTTGTCAAAAGTCAGATTGTGACTTTGTGGGCAGAGACCCCGTTGAGCTGCAACCAACATCTTGGAGGACATTAGAACGAGTCTCACAAACGACAAGGATATGTGCTGTTTTCATTCTGTAATTCTGCATGCAAGTGTAACACGATTATCGTACACGTAATGAAGACTCTGCTGATGTAGCAATGCAGCGTTGCATCAAGTACTGAAAGGGGTGAATTATGCGAACAAAGGCAAGCAGTTCTTCTCCTTGACAGCTCTACTGACTTAACAGCGAAGCTAACTTCGTTTCACGCAGTTACATACATTTTGTTTTCCAAAGTATCTGCTTCTAGTTGGACAAGTACAGAACAAAGCGTCCAGTCACTATTTTACTTCAATAGGCCTATAATTAAAGTTGGTTTCTAATGAATACAGTTCACACACTTAACCTGAAACAAATGCTTTGTAGTCTACACTCACAATCAAGGTGAGGCACGTAGCACACAGAGGATAGAAGAGAAATACATAATTTTTTAGCTGGAAAAAATCAACAAAAAAATCCCATTATGTAAACATAGGTGTCTACAAAAATATAATATTAAAATGAATCTCATTGAAACAGAATATCAGAAAATGTACTGAATTATAGTGGCGAATCCTCGTCTGGAAGTCAAGCAGTGCGGAAATTCAATATTACCAAGTCCCCCAAACAATCCCATAACAAAGCTAATAAATTTTAATAATAATTTTCCACTGTTGTGTTATATATTAAAATATTTTTTTAATAATCCTCTAATTTGGTGGTCCGGCGGCGCAATTACTAGCCAGACTGACGCATTCGCCACTACTACATTCCTTAGGCTCCAGGTCCAGGCTCTACGGCTTTTGTAAACACGGTGATGAACGTTTGTGTACACAACACACGCGTAATTTGACTGACTGAAGATAGAAACAGTGTGTTTCTTAGAAATGTTGTTATCTGCGTAAGAGTGCACACAGTGACACAACCCAGAACACCATGGATAACTGAGAGACTATTATGATCTTCTCATTAAAGAACTGTGATCTAAGGAGTTAGTCTACATTAACATCGATAACAGAATTTGGCATACATTTTTAAAATAAACAGACATATTAACAGAACGTCTCTAACGTTTTGCCCATAACTGATTTTTGTACTTTTCCGTCCTAAACCATTCGTATAGGCCTATTTGAACATAATCTTCCGCACCAACTATAAACATATATACACAACAACTTTATCACACACTATAGGCGTTACTGATATTCAAAAAATATTGCAAGGTTATAGAATAAACAGTTATCGTCTAAGGCCATTTGTAATATATATATATTTTTTTAATTTTTACGAGAACTCGTAACTTTACTTCACACAAATCGTATAACAGGAAAACATCGGAAATGTCTTTAAAGTTGAACGTTTATAATGATCAGCAAGAGCCATCTATTAACGAACTTTTCAGGCTCCTTGCTAGACTTCGACAATACAGAGCCATCTGTAGGTAGGCATCACCCGGAATCGAATAGAACGGTGCGATCAGCTGTTTCCGTTTCAACTCTAATGCAAACAAATGTTTATGGTTTGGGTATTAACGTATTTGTTTCGTAGTTGTAAGTAAAAATGCCTTCAGACGATGAATTTGACTACATGTCTGACAACTTTTTGGCAGAATGGTTAGTACTTTACAAGATTTATAGTGATATTTACCTCATGAAGATGACTGTCTTCCGGGGTGTCATGCCCTGATGGAGGCAGTAAGCACCTCTGATACTTCGTAAATTTCTACAAAACTATATGGTTCAGCATTCCAGAAGACAGTCATCGTAATACTCGCCGCCGTGAGAAACCGAAATCTCACCAATTTACCTTATGTTTGTGTACAATGATTTGTAACTTTGAAATAATGTAACAAGAAACGAATAATGACTGGATGTTATGCTAAATGCCTGCATATTTTAATCTGACACAATAGGAAATTTAGATCGCAATCTGATTTAGGAAATGGATTTAAATAACATATTTATGAAACCAAACCTAAAGTCAGCCCATGCATTTTAATATTCAAAACTGCTTTCAGGATAATAATTTCTTTCCGAAAAATATGTAAGTCAACAAACTAAACAAATTATATAACTTACAATCTAATGGATGTTGCAGTGTAAAGGAAGATATTCGCCCTGGACTTATTCACAATCGAACCCAGCAGAGGACTCATGATATTGAGAGAAAGAAGAAGGTCACAGATGAAGATAATAAGCAACAAAACAGGCCACAGAGGTTAATAGAGGCAGAGAGACGGGAGGAAGGCCTCAATGAGGCCATTGCTGACAGTAACCGAGGGTTTGCACTCCTCCAAAAGATGGGATACAAACCAGGCATGGCTATAGGAAAATCAGGTATGGTAAACAGTTCCCTGAGTATTGCCACCATTCTATAAATCCTGCTTCTTCCTGTCGTTAGATAGAAAAGGTCTATGATCAGACCCATACCACATTATGGTATGGGTCTGACAATTATTTCTCTTGTAGCAGAAATGTGGAGCCAAATTATGTTTGTGTTGATACACCCAAACTGTTTCAGCCATTTTTAGTATTGTATCTTTACTAATTGTTTCTTTCATAAGTCATAATGGAGCTGAATCAGTAATATTCGTTACACAGTCCTCTCCCCTTATCAGGAGCTACACTTGGTCAGTTACAAATGGTAAGCCTTGAGTAGTGTTTTCTAGCATATCTTGGCATTTGCATCAATAGACAAAATAAAAAAAATAAAAATTCAATCGTAAGAGCCACTGTTCAGACTGGTACTTCCCACAGATAGAATGCAACATTCACTGATCATTCATAATTACCTGCAAATTTTAAAAATGTCTAATCTTTCTTCTGTAGCTCCTTCTCTGGGCACTGAGCTTTTGTCCTGGTGCACTAACAAAATGTTACCTGCTTTAGTAGGACGTATGTCTGACTGTCCTGCCACAAAAAATCCTTGACTAAACACAGATGATTTTGAAAGACAGAAGAGCTATGTTGTCTAACCTCACTTATGAAAAAGCAAATGTAAGAATGGTCCACTATGTATGAACGTTAATTTCAGGCACAGGTTATGTAGAACCTGTTCGTATTGTACTTAAGTCAGATCGAAGTGGACTTGGAAGAGATGCAGAACTCAAAGAAATTGCAGCTCAGAAGCTTGCAATAAGGAAGAGACTGATGCATAAAAGAGAGAAGGCAACAGATACTCAAGACTACAGGGCCCGCATCACAAGGAAGGCAGCAGAGAGGCAAATTGAGGGAGATCTGAGGAAAAGTCAGAGAGTTTGTGAAGAGCTGGACACTTCTAAGGTAAATATATCAATCATGGATTGCTTCAATGCAGCAAATGCTTCCATTATTCAATCTATTTATCCAATAGAACATTTGATGGATAAAGAAGTAAACTGCTGCATGTGCCACCTTCTACAATTTTACATGTGACCTCCAAGAGTAAAACAGTTATCAGCTATCCTGACTTGGGTTCAACATGGCCTTCAGGTAAATTCCAATATATATATATGTTCAAATAGGCGATAATCACCTTCTTCTAAATCCTTACCTACTCATTAGTTATAATCAACAATTCATCTCATTTTGTGCTATTAATCATTTGAAGTTGAAACAGTGTAATTAAATAACCAAGCAATCAACCAGTTCCATCTGAGGGAAAAATTGATTTGGTGAAACACCCCTAAAAGTTTTTATCTATATGATAGCAAGGTAACCTCAAATGATACTTGCTACTTCATGAATCCTACTTACAGACTTAAAACTTTCTAGAGATCCATATGCTGGGCATTTAAATTGCATTAAACCGAAGGTACTTAGAAAAAAAGAACTCGGCAAGTTAATGTTTTGAAGAGTTACTGGAAACAAGATGGGAAAGAAGTACTTTTTTGGAGAAAACTAAAATTCTGAAGTTGTACTTTACAGTATATCACAGATTATGACATCAGTGGGGCAACAAATTGACTGACAAATGCATTAGTTGTATAAAAGGAAACACTGGTATTCCAGGTTATTGTTGTAACAAAGTCACTATTATTACAGGAAGAAGGACAGATATGGATGGGCCCACAAGGTACTGTCTTCTCGGTTGTTGTGCTGTGTGGTCTGGTATAAGTTTACTTACGTTTCAGAGGCCCTTGCTGCCTCAATCATCAGGGTTATGAGTGACTCCGAAACATTTGTGAATTTCTACCTCACCACTCTGTATGTGGCAACAACCCAGAAGACTCACTGCCTGAAAACCTCCAGTCCTACAAGGTGTTCTTTGCTTATGTTAGAGTGTAAAGAACACCTACATAGGGAGACAGATATAAGGAAGTACGTAATTATTACATGGGTACTATCCCAGAATTTGCCTCAAAACAGGATATGGGTAGAGTCAACTTAATATTTGCTTGGGAATTAAACCACAAGCCATTATCCCATAACAAAAAAGTTAAGAGGAATATTAAATTTCTTTGCTTTACATAAATACCAAGCACAAAAATCATGAATGACTACAACAGAAGAAAATAAAGAAGCATCAAACTTCAGTAAAATTAATTACTTACATTTATCTGAAAGATGAAAAGTGATGACCATGAAGTTCACTGACCCTGAACACTTTTTATATCATTCACAGACTCACATGTGTTTACTTTTTATAATTAGTTTCAGGTGTTTTAATATTTCTAATATTCAATAAAAAGTTAAGGGGAATATTAAATTTCTTTGCTTTACTTAATCACCAAGCACAAAAATCACGAATGACTACAACAGAAGAAAATAAAAACCATCAAATGTATCTGATGAATCTTCAATAAAATTAATTACTTAACATTTATCAGAAAAATGAAAAGTGATAACCATGAAGTTCACTATCCCTGAACACTTATTATTTTATTCACAGACAATTTGATCTAATATTAATACACTTTTTAATCACTGCACATCATAAGAGGTATATGGTCTCATGTTCATGCTCTTCTCACTTTCAAACTAGGCCTCCTATAAACTTTGTGTTGTTCCCTCCATTATAACATGGCCTCCTTGATTCCTGTTTTCTTGTAAAAACTATGAATGTAAACATTAGATTAATTATTAGCCATATTCATCAGCCTGATTTTTATGAATATACTTGTCAAGATAAAGTCTTTTAACCATTAATATAATAGAAAAAAACTTATAATGATAATAGCAAGATTAGGCTAGATGAAATAAATGGATAGTGATTTGATGTTGGCCATTGTTGAGCTGTTCATAATATCGGTTAATCATCCATTATCGTATAACAAACCAACAACAACAATAATAATATTTAATATCCATTTGAATAATTTCCACTAGTACAGGTATTCTTTGTTTTTTGTCACACATAACCTCAAGGATCCATACCGTCACCATGTTTGTAATTGTGAACATATACAAAATAATTTGAATGTTTTGGTTTATTTCATAGGGATTTGATGAACCAGCAGAACCATGGTTTTGGTCCCCAAGAAAAACCCAGGCAGCAGATGATAAGGAAGATGAAGATGAACCAAAAAATCAACAGGATATAAATAGAGAAAAAGGTGATGATAGTACTGAGGAAGATGAAAATATTTCAGAAGAAATAGAATTTGAGGTACTTAACTTTTTTTACTTATTCATCATTAGTTTCATATTTACAAGTGCTTTGAGGTACCCCAAGTAACAAGGGCAAATTTTTAAAAAGGAACTTGTGAGTGAGAAAACAAACCTCCAAATAAATTAGCATACATGAAAATGTGCCAATATTAATAATTCATGGCCATGTGGCTGCAGAATACATGCCTATAACTGTGAATATACCTCACAGGTCATGTTACCTTATTCCTATTTCATTTTACAGCATATAAGAGTAAGTAATTTCACCTTTTAGACTTTTTATCTTCATTTTCAGAGTATGTGAAATCAAAAGACAGTTTCACTATTTTGTAGTTTGCTGTTACAATTTTTGTCACGTATGAGTAACTTAAGCACCATGTCATGAAGATTTATGGGGGAATGGAGTTATAACTGCACTCATTCTTGGCCTTTGCCAGTATTTAGAGATGAGTGGTTAGGCCTTA